TCCTTTTATACATTTTTTGAATATATTAATTATTATAGTATTACTAGTTAATACTATTAAAATATACATATCAATATACTTTAAACTTGAAATATTTCAACTACAAAAATTTATAATTTGATTATTTCACCAAAAACTAAATATTAATAATATTAATAATATCAAGATTTTATAAAGAATGAAATATAATTGAAGGAATCTATAATTATATTAATTAATTACTTTATAAAATATATCCAAATAAATATATATGTGAAACATAAATCTGAATATAGTACAGATAATTAAAAATGTAGATCTCTAATTTAGGAGATAAATATGAAATAAAATATAATATTTAGGATATAAATATTAATATAGGGGATAAATATAATAAATGAGAAAATTATATAATTGAATAAAAATAAGGGTAATAATATAATAAATTATAAAATTATAGAAAAATAGAATTTTGTATAATCAAAGAAAGATTATGGAATTAGAGAATTTTATGTTACTATGATAATACTATTCTAATTATAAGTCAAATACTAAGATTAAAATTATTGAGTTTTCAATATTCAAGTCTCTTAATATAAAAAAAAATAAATATCTAATTTAGTATATTCCATAGAATAAGTAAGTCCCACATATTTTAGAAGACAAGAAAATGATAAATTCACTCAATTGATCTACTCATGTATCAAATTCCTTAGCAGTTGATTGCTTGCTTCTTCGAAGTAGGTTTCTAATATTTTTTGAATAATAAATTTAAAGCTATTTTTTATATAAAATACAATGCATTGTTTGTCCTTGTATACAATTCCTTCTGCCTTATAATTATACTCTCCATCCGGACTCATATAAAGGGAGTACTCCACAAATTTCTTGATTAGGTTTTTTATCTACTGGTCCAAAAAGTACAAAATCGGGAATAAGTTTCGCGTGTAAATCACATATTGGCGAATCACCTGGACGAGGATCACCTGAATCATGTGATCTCGTGAAAACGGCTCCGTTCTAGCTGTTCCTCCTAACGGCTCATTAATTAGTATTCTTTTCAAATATCTATTTCTAATATACATACAATATTTTTTTGTAATTCTGATGTGACGCGTTTATAAGCTAGATATTCTCATTTCTTTATTGTTTTTGAGATAGTAAATATACACATCCCTATAATATACAGTCAAATCTCTCTATAGTCACCACGCTTGGTTGGGTGACTATAGAGAGATTTTTTTTAATTAGTAACTGGAAAACGCAAAAAAGGTGACTATAAAAAAGGTGACTATAAAAAAGGTGATTATAAAAAAGTGATTATAAAAAAGTAATTATAAAGTGGTGTGACTATAGAAAGGTCTGACTGTATTACTGGAAAAAACAAAAATGAAAGTATCATTTTGAAATCCAATATCTCAAAATTCAATATTCCAATTTAAATGAAAATACTCCATTGAATTTGTCCTGATTTCACAAATTCAATGTAATATTTTTATTTAGATTGGATCATTAGATTTTGAGTTATTGGATACTTTCATTTTTGTTATTTCCAATAATATATTGTAGGGATGTGTATGAGGATTAAAGATGGAGAGGTTTTAACTATGTTCAAAGCATTGTTATTTTTATAAACTAATATTATTTTTTATAATTATTTGATTAGAGCAAATATATCATCAACTCTTTTGATTGTGATTTAATAATAGCTTTGATCTTTTTATTCCAAAAAGATACCCCTTCTTAGGTGGTTTTTATTGGTTTCCTCATTCATCAATTAAATCTTCAACAAAAATTTATTGGTGATGTTTTCAGGGATATTTGATGGTATAAAACCTTAATCAATTATCTTAAGAAAGTAATCGTGATAACTTTTCTTAGTTATTGGTCTGAAGACTTATCAGATCTAAAATGAGAGTCCTTTGTTCTCTGATGAATCAATCAATGATCTTTGGTTATTTCGGCACAAGAATTTTTGTTTGTAAGTATATATTATAACCATTAATTTCTAATAACCATCTTTTTCTAAAAAAACCCAGTATTATTTTTGATCGCAAATTTGGAACTAACCTTATCGTGGTGCGATCTGATATCATTGAATTGATTGTAATTTCCAATATCTGAAATACTAAAGATGAAGCAATCAATATTATATATTTGCGCACTATATTGCATTTAGATAAAATAGAACTTATGTTGATGACCAATATCCCGATAACTACAATCGCGACAATTCAAAAACCCGGCAAATGAAATCCCACTGCAAAAACGTACCACCTTTTTTCCTTTTTAGGTTAATGAATCAGACCCCGTGATTTATGCGGCGACGACGACGCTACAAATTTCAGCTATTTTTACAAAACGTGAATTAATACGTAATAATTAGATTTTTATATGTACATGTAACACTTAATTCTCACACACGAATAAAAAAGCATTTCATTCATCAATTCCCGTAGTTATACATCATCCTATTTGCCAAGTTGCATGTCTTGATTGGATGATAACATATTGGGTGATAACATATACAACAACCTTCTAAAATTTATGAACTTCTTGATGGGATTGTTTCAAGTCATCGACAAATTCCCGATTTTTTCTCTTCAATCTTTCGTAGTTGAAATTACGTAACGTATGTACATTAACTCTACCTAACAATATGTTTTTATTAAGGAGGCTAATGACTCAACTGAGGGTCAAAGTTGACTGAAAGTTGAGCATGTATAATAAATAGCGTTAACAATAATAAATAATCACACGAGTTTGTCACACATACACGTACATGAATCCCGAAACTGTATAACAACGATAATTATCGTTTGTTTTACTATCATTTAACCAATTCACCCATTTTATTCTACTGAGCTCGAAGATGGAATCAAATACTCATGATGAGAAAAAAGTATTTGAGTGGTACTTAAATTAGCAGAGGGTGGAAATGCTAGAGGACAATGTAATCTTGGTTGGTGTTATGAAAAAGGATTCGAAACACAAAAAGATGAGAAAAAAACATTGAGTGGTACTTGAAATCGGCAGAGGGTGGAGATGCACAAAATAATCTCGGTTTGTGTTATCAATATGAAATCGGAACACAAAAAGATGAGAATAAAGCATTAAAATGGTACTTGAAATCAGTAGAGGGTGGAGACGTAACAGTACAAAATAATCTTGGTCGGTGTTATGATGAAGGAATCGGAACACAAAAAGATGAGAAAAATGCATATGAGGGGAATCTGGAAATGCTCTAGCGCAGCTTAATCTTGCTCGCTGAGATGGAACAATCAAAAATGAACAAAAAGCATTTGAATGGTATTTGAAAACAACAAACTCTGGCGACCATCTCTTTTTTATGAAAATGGGAAATGGACAATCAAAAATGAATGAAAAGCATTCGAGTGATATTTGAGTCTGGACTTTCTCAAGCACAGTTTGATCTTGCCCTCTGTTATAAAAATAGAGAAGGAACAATCAAAGTTGAACAAAAAGCATTTGACTGATCTTGCTTACTGTTATGAAAATGAAGAAGGAACAATCAAAGATGAATAAAAGCATTCGATTGGTATTTGAAAGCAGCAGAGTCTGGTACTTCCTCAAGCACAATAAAATCTTGCTATCTACTATTAAAAAGGAAAAGGAATTCTCAAAGATGAGCAAAAAACATTTGAGTAATATCTGAAAGCAGTAAAATCTTCTGGCACAAAATAATCTTGTTCTCCGTTATGAAAAAGGAAAAGGAACAATAAAAGATGAGCTGAAAGCATTTGAATGATATTCGAAAGCAGCAGAATCTGAAATTCTCAAGCACAATTTAATCTTGCTCTTTGTTATGAGAATAGAGAAGGAACAATTAAAGATGAGCAAAAAGCACATATGTTCTTATTAAAATCAGCAAATGCTGAGGACGTGACGCGCGATTATTCTGAGATTTAGTCAATAAAAAAAAAAAGATGAGCAATCATTATTTACATTTCTCTTACATAAAGCTAATTCTAATAACTCTCTTTCACATTATCGACTTGGTTTATGCTATGAGTATGGTGAAGGTACAGAAAAAGATGAGTATAAAGCATTTGAATGGTATTTAAGCGTAGCAGAGTTGGACATAGTAAAGCTCAGTTTAATGTGGGAAAATTTTATCAATATGGAACAAGAGTTGAAAAAAAGTCTCAATTTAACTTTAAAATGATATCGAAAAGCCAAAGAAAATAATCACGATCGTGCTCCTGAGATGGTTGAATCTTTTAATTTTGAAGAGATTTATAATGAAAGTTTTTTTATTAAATTTTTAAAATTCTTTAGTTTAACATAAATATTAACTTTTTAAATATATTAATTATAGCTTATTTGTTATTTCAAAAACTTTAAGGATAATATTTTTATAAATATATTATTATGAATCGATAAATTTAATTTTATATCTTTTTATTTACTTTCACGAAGGATAAAATGTCTTGTATAGTTCTCACTATTTATAGGAATGGCATTTTTATTATAATAATCTTTATTAAAAATAATTAAAAATATTTTTATTCAAATTTTCAAAATATTCGGCTTCATTTTCAAAAAATTCAATGGTTTCTCTATACTCGCCGTCCATTCAAGGCATGTTAAATATTATGAGAAAGAATCTATCAATTATTTCAATTCCTGCAATTAATGATAATTAAGAAAACAAATAATCCAGTAGTCCAAATACATGTTACATGTAATAAATAAAAAGCATAATATATTAATAAATAAAATTCACAAGTTTTACATGAATTTAGGTTATGGATTATTTTATCCACATTATATACCTGGATCTCATACTTTATACATGTATCTCTTATGAATCCCATATTATAGACCTAAGTCTATTAAGTGAAAGTCAACTTCTATAAAATAAAGTCACTATAAGATAAACCCAGTCTAAGATTTACCTCTATAATAAAATTTTGACTATAAAATAAATTTTTTAGCCCGCCTGGAGACTTTCTCTTATAGAGTTTGACTGTGTAATGGGGGTTGGTTTATGCGGCAAATTACAGTATTAATTTTTCATTATCCTTACTATAGTTACTAGCCCACTGGATAAACTCCGGGCAAATATAATGAAAACATTTGAAATCACACCCAATAACTGAAACATCACGTAAAGAAGGAAAAGTGGCAGACAACACTGGTTCTGCCATGTTAAAAGTAATATTCCTGCATCGAATGAACTGTAAATTTGTTAATTTCTGACAAGCAGCAATACTCCACCACGGAAGACAATTAATGAAATCGCATTCAACGAATCTCAGTTCGACAAGTGAATGCGATTGAAATTTCAGCGTTTCCAGTATTCGATCGAGAAATGAGTTGCATTGTTGTAGTTGGAGCGAAACTAATTTCTTTTGTGAGACAATTACGTTGCTGTAATCGGTGATGAAACATTTTTCTCCGAGCTTATTCATTGACACTGAACACTTCATATCAATTGTATCCTAATGATTAAATAACGAAATGAATACTTGCATTCAACATATAACAAAAAAAAACCTAAATAAAACCGGATTCGATAGAATCTCACCAAATTTCGAAAACTTCTCGGAATTTGATCTAGAAAAGTTGCATCGTCTGCAAAATTACAATCAATCTTGCATCTTCTCGCCTTTGCAAGGAACTGATCAAATTCTGGTTCAGCGAGAACCGAATAATACGTATCGGCAAATGAATATTTGCCAAGTGAGCAGTTGATTGTGGTGAGATGTGGTGAATGCGATCTGGCGAAAAGTCGAAGTAAAGCGCGAGTCACCCAAATAACTTTATAATCAAGTGTTCGAGTCATCCAGTTTGAATTGCAGAAAGCCCAAGCCGACATTACTAATCTTCCGTAGTCAAGTGTTTTAAGGTAAGCTGGGTATGGATATTTTGTTTTTTGAACGTTTGATTGGATTTTATTCATTTCTTGGATTCTTAGACTTTTCAGATCATCAATTTCCCTATCGGTAAGCATTGAAAGATACAATTCAACTTGTTTCCTTCCTCTCCGCATAAATGGTTTGCTATAAAGAAATTGAATTGCAACTTCAGACCAACTTTTTTTGACCAATAAACAACTATAAATATCCGATACTGGATTTCTCCTGTTTGTTCCGTATCCTAATATCAAGACCGGGTCATCTCCATCCTCAACAAATAAATGAAGGAAGATCTCATACAGTATATCGGGAACCAATTCAGGTGGACTGTTTTTCGAACGACGTCGTCGTTGTAGCTTTTTAATCGTTCGTCGGGATGTGAGTTGTTGATTACCATGATGATCTTGATAACATTTGCTCGGAGCAACATGAGAGGTGTGAATATTTATATTCCCAGTGGGGTTGAAATTCTGCCGATTTGAATTATTAAAATGACGATATCTATGTGATGAAGTTCAAACGGATGAGTATGGAAAAACAAATGGAGGAGAAAACGGTGGGCTTACAAAAACGGCGGGAAGTCTCGGTTCCGGGTAATGTTGTTAGTGCTGTTAGCGTTGCCAGTGCTATTGGTGGTGTTAGCTATGTTAGTGGCGTTAGTTGCAGTCATAGTAGAGCTGGTGGAATCACTTGTGTCTGTGAGATTATTGGTATTTGCGTTTTTGTTTAAGAAATATTTCTTAAACCTAAAGATTTTGAATCGTCAAATAAGAAAATCATAATTCAATTAGAATTCAAATTAAAATAATGAATTTACTTTTGGTTCAGTGCTTTAAAGATTCGCATAGATGCTAACAATTTTTTCGAATAATGATAATAAAATAGTATTCCTATTTTTTATAAGGTAAAAAACATCTTTTTAAATAAAAATTACGATTATTTATCTGTATACAGTAGGCACAAAGAAAATTCCTAACTCAGAACAACAAAAATCATAATGTGGAACAGGTATTATTATAAAGTTAATACATGTAACCAGTTTTAGCATCAGAGAGAGAACATCCTTCCTGATACATATACATGTAATTTATTCTTGCAATTCCAGCTCCACGATAATTATTTTAAAATTTAAGATTTTTTCCAGGCAAACATACATGTTTTGTATATATTTATTGATTTTGGACAGGGATATTTTGTGTCAAAGTACATAAACGAAACGCAACAAAAATTCTAAGCACATGTATGTACATGTTGTATTATTACGTGGATCCGATAGTCAAACTCAGTCTGTAACAAAAACATACCGATGATACGTATGATACTTGAGGAAATTCGAAAAATTAAATCATTTTAAGCCGACGGGCGGGATTGAACCACCGACCTTCAGTTTACAAGACTGACGCTCTACCACTAAGCTACGCCGGCTTAATGTAATAAGGTATGAATTTTTTAATATATGTCATATATAATGTAAAATGAAAAATTATTATTTCTAATTTATGATAATTCTGGCTAAAATTTCATCATGTTCAGTTTTCACATAAAGATTAATAAAATTATATTAATCGTTATACATGTATTTTAAAAGAACGGAGACGAATTGCTAATTGTTGAAAGAAGTTATGCACTTGTATGTATTTAAAAAAACTACGTATACAAAAAATTAATAAATAATATCTGCCCAATATTTTATATACAAAAATAAATGCTGTAATATATACACAAAATAAGTAATAGTAAAGTAAATATACGAATGTTCCATGTATAATAAAAATAATTATTAATACATGTAATACATGTAATACATGTATGTGAAATTAAAATATCGGTATAGAGACTCTCCCAGTAATTTAAAATATATTCTTAATCCGGGGGTCCCCCGGGGGGCCTGAGTAAAATCGGAGACGAGTTTACGAGCTAGAATGATTTTTCCATACTATGCTATCAGGCATTCAATCCATTGAAATACATTATTCTAATCGTCAACTCACCCAACTCTGTACTGACAATTTTTTCTCCAGAGTTTCTCTTCTCGTCTTCTCCTGTTGTCGTTTTGATTACTTTTACAAAATGTTTTGTCAACTCGAAAAATCTTGATTCTTCAGTTTCTTCTGTAAATCTTGAAATGTCAAAAGAAAATTCTCCGAATGAAGTGCCTTTTCCCAGCAAGGATGTTTCTAGTAACTCTATTCTAAATTTAGCGTTTTGTGGGTCACGAATATAAAAAACGTATTCATGCCCAGTTGGATCTTTAATTGGTGTTTGCACCGAAAGTTCATTAACAAGCTTCCCATTTTTTGTATCGAGTAAAGTTGTATTCAAAATTGCAGATCCAACTTCACGTGTTAAGTTTAAACTCAAGATTTTTATTCGCGCCATTCCAACGAAATCTGATCTCTTTCCCTCGTACCACTTCTTTTTAGGCGCGTCATCGATTAATCTAGTCACATTTAAGTGATTCGAGGAAAACAATCTCAAAAGGAAGCTTCCTTCTTCACCAGCATCAAAAGTTGATGGTATTAAGACATATCGACCTGGTTCTAATACCATTCTAGAAGTCACTTCCCTTGCATTAATATACGTCACCCGACTCACAACATCATACAAAGGTTTGTGTACACGATAAACACGGTTGTTTTCAACTCGTATACAAATAAATCCAATCGTGTGGTTTTCGATTCCCTCAAGACGATGATCACGTATATCTTGTTGCATCAATGCAGCGATTATTTTTGTGGGTTTTGTTAATGTGAATGCGTATTGTGGATTCTGATGAAATGTATCGGTATTATTTATGCAACCACCCGCTGTATTATCTTTTTTTGACCATTGTCCCTTGAAAATACAGGTATGCCACTTTGGGCCAGGCACATACCATGCCACTTTGAGATGACGACAAATAGTCAACGTAGAAAAATTTGCAATAAAGTCATCATACGACTAATAAAATATCAAACAAAAAGATAAGAATAATGAAAAATCTTGATATGATATCTCATGAAATTCATAAATACCATCCAAAATTCACCATCGTCTGCAACTTTCAGAGCGAGCTTTTTACGCTCCGCTTCGTTGACATTTTTCCACTCTAGTGAATCGTCAGACCAGGCACCATTCCATTCTCCAGATCCCCACGGATTATGAAGTTTCATCAATAGAACGTGGTCTTTTCCATTATGTGGGTGTTTTAATTTATAAACTTTTTTTATTCCATATGCATGCTAACAACAATATCAAAAGCGCATGTGATCAGTAAAACATTATTTAGATATGCAAGTTTGCAGTTACTCACCCCAAGAACCAATCCATTTGTGAGTTTAGCTTCCTGCTGTTGTTCCTCTGGAACATTAATTGAGCAACTTATTAATGCATCTGATTTGCTTGCTTTGTTTAAGTGATCCAATAATTCACTATCAGTATATCTATTTATCTTTCCTTCTTCATCAGGTTCAAGGTCCATTGTTTCGGGTACTGTGCCAGTCAAATCAACTAATGCGTCTGAGGTTGAACCGGATTCCAGAGTTTCATAACATCCGCAAAGTTTTGCATAAGCCTTTTCCAATAAAGCACACCAAAATTCGTTAGGTTTTCTCGCATGCGCGTAGATTAATTGGCCATCTACTGTTGGAAGATAGTCGTCAACTACGACCTCAACCCATTGACCGAATCGATAGAATCGGAATCGAAATATACCTAGTATCAGTTTAGATTTAGAATTTGAATTAGAATTTGTCCAGCACTCAAACCACATAATAAATAGTCACATACCAGGATGATGGTCAAGATCTCTTAAAAATGTACCAGTATGTAACATTCCAGGATCGGTTAAATGAGACCAGTCTTGGAGTTTCCATCTCGGAATTACTTTATGTAGTAATGTTGGGTGAGCAGCCAAAACTGTGAATGCAGTGACAAGCCAACAATTTCCGACGAAGCTAATTAATTTAAAGCAAGAGTAAATTGGCGGTAACATATCATAAATACAAGAATTCGTGAAAGAAGATTGATTTACCCTTGCAATACTTCTGGATACGCTTGTCCATTTTCATATACAAATAAATGTGGATTCATACATATATCCTAAATTTAAAAATATATATATATATATATATATTCTCTTCGTTTCGCTACATATTCAACATTATTACAGAAGCATTGAAAACAAAACCTTAATACGCATCCACTTAATTTCACCATCAATATCTGGTCTTTGATGACGCCAAAGCGAGGAATCATTTGGCGGGAACTTTTCATCCTGAAAATGATGACCGCTAGCTTGACATTTCAATAAGATAGTCTTATAATTTTGTTGGAACAATGATTGATATCGAACTTTTCGCATTATAATTTATTGTGTGTACTAAAAAAAGAGATCCAATAAGTAAATAGACTAACTTTTTATTCGATCGAACAAGAAAAAATTCTATATCGATATTTATAAGAAAACTTAAAATACTTTTGTTTTGTTAATCTCTTGAAATTACATATAATATCCGTCATGTTGTACGTGTGGGGTTTCGGGTTTAACTTAATTATTAACACAATATTTGGCAACTTGTGTATGACCACATTGTATTGAAATTAACTTAGCACAAAATAACAAGTTTTTCCACTAATTGGTCAATTTTAACAAAACAGGTTGTTTGTTCTAGAAGTGAGAATTGCACACGGTGGACTCTAGCGGTGACTAATATAATGGATAATATCCAAAAACGCCTTTGATAAAATCCCACTCGATATAGTAGATTTTTGAAAATTTGACTAACAGATTTTTTTGATACACTATAAAATAGAGTCACTGTATATTCATATATAAAATAAATATATCCATATACAAAAATAAATATATTCATATATGAAAATAAATATATTCATATATGAAAATAAATGTATTCATATATGAAAATAAATATATTCGTATGAGACCAGAAATGAAAATTCAATAGCATCAATGAAAAAAAAAACTATTGTTCTTGGATTTTGCGAAACCAGTTTCTGTATTGTGCTAGAATATATCAACTAAATTTGTTTATTCATCGTTGTAAATTCATGTATAGAAGCAAGATTGAAAAAAGTACGTATATATTGGTATAGCATGTTAATGTAAAATTCGAAATTGGTTAGCAACCAATCTTTATAACATAATGTCCAAAAAGTTAAGTTCTATAGGACCGCCAAAAAATCATTGCATGTACATGTGAACAAATGCAAAGAACGCATGATGTTCGATGGATCTTTTGTTGGCGTAATACATGTACAGGTACATTTAACCAATGCATGTTATCGCCCATGTTACAGAAAAAATTACTACTTTGCTAGAAAAAGCAGACATTAAAATATTTTGTTCATAACTGTTTGTTAATAATAAATAATGAATTCTTGTCTAGATTTTACGTTTAAATTTTGACCATATAAATACATGTATATGGTTTCCTTATTGAAATTCAAAAGTTTCATGAATATTAGCTCGAAAATACACAAAATAGAATATTTTAGAACTTAAAACTTATTCGGTTTAGTACTTGACGTAACGATAATAATAACGCACGTCATTCTTTTAATTTTCAATCGGCGCTTAGAGTGTATCAGGGACACGGAAAAATTCATATACATGTATCATGATATCGGTATAAAACGGAATTTTGAGACAAAACGAAATAAAATGGAATAAATCGGGAATTTTCATAGATAGATACACAGTAACTCTCTTTATAAAAATTTAATAGTAAAAAATCCACTATATATCGAGAGTTTATTAGTAAATTTACTATATCGAATGGATTTTATTAAAGGTAGTATTGGATATTATCCACTATATCACGAGTTTTAATTAGTCTCCACTATAAAGGAGGTACACTATAAAGAGAGCCACTGTGTATGTATACGTACTACAAAAAATCGTTTTATAAATTGTTGAATGATTATCCCATCCCATTTTATGAACGAAAAATGTCTCATAAGCAAAAACGAATAATTGCATATAGTCGCGCACAAGAGTTTTCTGAAGACTTTCGTTATGATGATGGAATTTTATTACATGTATGTCGGTTTGTAATCACTCAATTAAATGGGAACATAAAATAACTATTATTTCGTATATTAATAAAAAAATCATAAACTTGTACAAATAACACGACAAACGTTAAATTCGACACTTAAGTCCAATCCGTGCCATAGATACATTATTATTAATTGAATTGATGTTTGGAACAAAATTTCATATGGTGCAAAACACTTTTTAAATTGCTATAACTTTGTATCTAAATATAGAAATTTAAAAAAAATAAGTTATTTAATAGCCTTAGATAAGCTCTATCATTTGGCGTATTTTTTTTGATGTTTTTATAAATTTATAAAGTTTCGAAAATGATGTGTCGTATTTCAGCGCTAAAAATATTCTCCGATTGGTCAGATTTTTCATGTGAAATAATCGCACGTGAAACACGTGAATTAATATTATTTGCCGCTGTACGTAGACTTTCTGCACCATATCAATTATATTTACAATTTCATCTGTAGTATCGGTATGACAAAAGTAATATTACATATATATGATTCAATTTGGGAATTTTTCCGGGTCCCTGGAGTGTATAGTCATGATCTGCATAAAAACGTGATTTGTAAGAGCAAAAGTAAATTTTAGGAAACATGCATTGAACATCAAAAAGGTAACGATGTTCCAAAAAAATACAATGGAATGCTCCGAAGTAATACATGTATCAATATGTTAGGTGGGGACCCACCCCTATTGTCCTAAAATCAAAAAGGGGATAATTCATTTGTTACTTTAATAGATTGCTGTCGACCGTCATATGCTAATAGGAACATGACCATATTCTTAAACACTTATCAGTAATAATTATCTTCTTGACAATGAGTACATTTAGTACAATGATGAGTGTTCGATCCCATCTTTTTTCACTTTATAAAAACGTTTGTATAGAACATGAACGTTTGAAATGATAATAATATAATTACACGTACATGTATAAAGTGATTCAAATTCTACTTGCGTCTTTTTTTATTCATTTATGGGCGTGTATGTGCTAAGAAATGATATATGTACATTCGATGCTTTTTATCAATGACGTTTGACATACAATTCATAAGCATACGGGATGCCGTTCTTTCAGGATTTCATACGTTCGGAATGTCGTTCATTCGAGACTAGGATGTCATTTGTCGAGATATTGTACATTTTTAAAATGCATTTATGATCTAGATGTTATTTTCTTTCAGGCATTTAGAACTGTATTAAAATAATATTAAATATTTGACTTTTTATATTACTTTATTTTTGTACCAATAAAGATAAGTTCAGACAAGTTTTCTGCTTTTATATCTGGAAATCTCCGCAAATTTAACACAAATTCTCAGGATAACCTGATATTTTGGAATTTAGTCGGATATAATTCTAGAAATAATCTGAATATTTTGATAAGAGTTAAAAATTCTGTATTAAAATTGAAAAATTATATTTCACACCTAGAGCTGAATCAAGTGTTAAGATTATCTAATGAAAGAATATACATGTATAATAAAGTTTACAAGAAATATTTTTATATTACACATCGGTTATGCAATCTAATTGGCTAGATCCCGTGATCTAATGCGATCTTATTAGTTGATTTACACTGGTGTTTTAAAAACGTGTCTACAAAATTCCTAAAATCAAAATCACAATTTTAAATCACGACAACTTCTCCGGCGTAATCGGAAAAATCTGTCAGCGATCTAGGAAATAATAATGTTAGTATGATGGTGCATATATACAGTGGTCGTTACAAATATCCAGCATTTAATACGACAGGTAAAAAATTTAGTTTAATTATTTTCATGTGCTCAAATTTTGTTACCAAATATGGCTATAACTATCTACCACCAAAACATGATCTTTCATACTTCTGGCTAACTGAAGAAACAAGTCTTCACTCAAACCCACCCATCCCTTTTGAATTCTTGCTTGAAATTTGGTTGTTGAAAGTTTTTTTCTTCATTAACCATAAATTTACTTCTTTTTCCACCTTTTTCTTAAGTATAGCCCACAGATTTTCAGTTAGATCAATGTCTGACAAGTATAAAGACCAATCAAGAGTTCAGACATCACAATGTTTAAAAAGATTAATTATTTTACCAGCATTATGAATTGGAGAGTTGTTTTATTTCAAGAATGAACCTTATAAAAATACTTTATTATACTTTTATATAATAATAGCTTATTAATTAAGTATTTCTAAATATTTATAAGATTATTTTGTTAGAAAAATTATATAAGATTAATTTTAACAGATATATTTCTATTTTATTCAAGATGAATTGCAACATAATAAAACTATAAAAAAGAAATTTATAATGGATAATAAATATTAAATTAAAAATTTTTTAATATATATTGAATTATATAAATAAAAACTTTCAAAATTAAATCTTTTATTTAAGTTTTTTAGTAATTTTAACTGTAATAATAATATTATTTATCAGTATTATTTAACTAAGAAATGTAATATTATTTAATTATAAGAATTAAAGATCTTTTAAATCTAAAAAATATTATAATATAGTGTCAACCAAAAGTAATGACTCAGAGGCTAAATTTATTAATAAAATATAGTGAAAATTGAAATTTTCTCTTTATATTAAAATTTATAATTTTAATAAGAAATAATTTTTATTTTTATATTAAA